TGACTATTTTCTCTATATCGTACTTTTCATCTCTGTGACTTACCTATTTTTTTTTTAAGATTTTTATTTATTTATTTAACAGAGATAGAGAGAGAGCATAAGTAGGCAGAGCGGCAGACAGAGTGAGAGGGAGAAGCAGGCTCTCCGCCGAGCAGGGAGCCTGATGCGGGGCTCGATCCCAGGACCCTGAGATCATGACCTGAGCTGAAGGCAGCCGCTTAACCGACTGAGCCACCTAGGCACCCTGTGACTTACCTATTTTATAACTGGAAGTTTCTACCTCTTAGTCCCCTTCATCTATTTTGACTGTCCCCTCCCCAACCCACCTCCTCTCTGGCAACCACCAGTTTCTTCTCTGTATTTAAGAATCTGTTTATTTGTTCATTTGTTGTGTTTTTTAAATTCCACTTATAAGTGAAATCATTTGGTATTTGTCTTTCTTTGTCTGACTTATTTCATTTAGCATAAAACCCTCTAGGTCCATCCCTGTGCTGGTAATTTGAAATATTATAGCCAGGAATGGCTTTTCTGAGAGGGTAACATTTGTGTAAAGATATGAAAGAGAGGTGAGAAGGGGAAATTACATGGACTATTTAGGGGAAAAGCAGTACAGGCAGAAAGAACAGCATGTGCAAAGGGCCTGAGGGGAGCATGCTTGGTATTTATGAGGAACAAGAAGCCAGTGTGACTAAAGGGAGTCCTAGGAGTTGAAGTCAGAGATATAATAGGAAACAAGTAGACCATCGTAAGAATTTCTCTATATGATATGGGAAGCAACTGAAGGGTTTTGGGATAAGGAGTGACAAGATTTGTTTTAGGTTTTATTTTATTTTATTTTTTTAAAGATTTTATTTATTTATTTGAGAGAGAGAGAATGAGAGATAGAGAGCACGAGAGGGAAGAAGGTCAGAGGGAGAAGCAGACTCCCCGCTGAGCAGGGAGCCCGATGCGGGACTCGATCCTGGGACTCCAGGATCATGACCTGAGCCGAAGGCAGTTGCCCAACCAACTGAGCCACCCAGGCACCCTTGTTTTAGGTTTTAAAGGATTGCTTTGGCTGCCATATTGAGAATAGACAGCATGAGACCAAGAAAACAGGGAGACTAGGAAATTTCTCAAGATTTACGGATTGAGGATGGAGTGCTGTTTAATGAAATGAGGGAAGGCTACTGGAGTAGCATGTGTGCGAATGAAAATGAAGAATTTAGATTTAGATGAGGAATTTGGACATGATAAATAGATGCCAATTAGATATGTAAGTGGAGGTGTTAGAAATATGAATCAATAGAGTTGGGGAGTGGATGGGAAGAGCTGGAGATTGGGAGTCATCACTGTACAGTAGTACATAAAACTATGAGGTTGGTCGTGCACTGTTGGTGGGAATGCAAACTGGGGTAGGCATTGTGGAAAACAATATGGAGATTCCTCAAAAACATTAAAAATAGAATACTTTATGATCCAGTAATTCAACTATTAGGTATTTACCCAAAGAAAATGAAAACGCTAATTCAAAAAGATATATGCACCCATTTATTGCAGCACTGTTTACAATAGACAAATTATGGAAGCAACCCAAGTGTCCGTGGATAGATGAATGGATAAAGATGTGGCATATGTATATGTGTGTGTGTGTATATATATATATATATATGCACAATATACACACACATATATAATGTATATATTTTATGTATAATTGTATACACACATATATAATGGGATATTACTGAGCCAAAAAAAGAGTGAAATCTTGCCATTTGCAACAACATGGATGGATCTAGAGAGTATGATGCTAAGCGAAATAAGTCAGTCAGAGAAAGCAGATACCATCTGATTTCATTCATATGTGGAATTTAAGAAACAAAATGAATGAACAAAGAAAAAAGAGACAAAAAATCAGACTCTCAAATATAAGGAACAAACTGGTGATTATCAGAGGAGAGGTAGGTGGGGAATGGATGAAATAGGTGACGGAGATTAAAAGTACACTTACTGTGATGAGCACTGAGTAGTGTATAGAATTGCTGAATCACTATATTGTGAAAATAAAATAAAATATAGTGGCACCTGGCTGGCTTAGTCCATAGAGCATGTGACTCTTGATCTCAGGGGTTGTGAGTTTGAGCCCCACGGGCATAGAATTTACTTAAAAAAATAAATAAAATATAACAAAATAATAATAAAAAATAAAACTATGAGGTTGGGTGAGATCTCCCATAGTGAGTGTAATTATAGAAGAGACCCGCTGAATGAGCCCTGGGACACTATGACATCTGTAGGCTGGGTAGTTTAGTAGCAACCAGTTGCATAGATGGAGAAGTAATTGGATGTTGAAATCACTAGACTTGTCAGTTATTTTTTTTTTTAAGATTTGTTCATTTATTAGAGAGAGACAGTGTGAGCACATGCATGTGATGAGGGGTAAGGGGCATGGGGGAGAGAAACTTAAGCAGACACGGGGCTCAATCTCACAACCTGAGCCAAAACCAAGAGTTGGGTGCTTAATGGACTGTGCCACCCAGGTGCCTTGTCAGTTGTCTTTTATATCAACTTTCCATCCTTCATCTGGATTGAGTTTTGGAGTTGGGAGCCATTATGTGATAAGTTAAACTTGTAAGGTGCATCTCATTGGAAATGGAAATGGGAGAGAAAAGACGTACCAGTATGGCTTACAGGACAGGAAAAATACATGTTAGCAATAGGAATAGGGCAGTTTTGCTAGTTAGGTAATATGAAAATGCAGAAATTTGTGTTTTTTAATTTTATTTAAATTCAATTAATTAACATATAGTGTATTATTAGTTTCAGAGGTAGAGTTTAGTGATTCATCAGTTGCATATAACACCCAGTGCTCATTACATCAAGTGCCCTCCTTAATGCCCATCACCCAGTTACCCCATTCCACACCTGCCTCTCCTCCAGCACCCCTCAATTTGTTTCCTATAGATAAGAGTCTTTTGGGGGCACCTGGGTGGCTCAGTCTGTTAAGCCTATGCCTTGGGTTCAGGTCATGAACTCAGGGTCCTGGGATAGAGGCCCACATCAAGCCCTGCATCAAGCCCCTCATCGGGCTCACTGCTTGTCGAGGAGTCTGCTTCTCCCTCTGCCCCTCTCCCCAGCTCTTTCTCTCTCTTTCAAAGAAATAAATAAAATCTTAAAAAAAAAAAAAAAGAATGGGACTCCTGGGTGGCTCAGTCAGTTAAGCAGCTGCCTTCCGCTCTAGTCATGATCCCAGGGTCCTGGGATCGAGTCCTGCATCAGGCTTCCTGCTCAGCAGGGAGTCTGCTTCTCCCTCTGCCCCTCCTCCTGCTTGTGCTTGCTCTCTGTTTCTCTCTCTCTCTCTGACAAATAAATAAATAAAATCTTAAAAAAAAAAGTCTCTTACAGTTTGGTTCCCTCTCTGATTTCAACTTATTTTATTTTTCCCTCCCTTCCCCTATGATCCTCTGTTTTGTTTCTTAAATTCCACATATGAGTGAAATCATATAATTTTTTTTAAGATTTAATTTTAAGTAATCTCTACACCCAATGTGGGGCTTGAACGCCCAACCCTGAGATCAAGAGTTGTGCAATCTACTGACTGAGCCAGCTAGGCACCCCAAAAATACAGAAATTTTTCCTTTGTTGTTACACTAAAAAAAAATGAGTTTTTTCTTTGGAAAAAAAATTTTTTTGAAGATTTTATTTATTTATTTGACAGAGAGAGAGACACACAGTGAGAGAGGGAACACAAGCAGGGGGAGTGGGAGAGGGAGAAGCAGGCTCCCCGCGGAGCAGGGAGACCGATGCGGGGCTCGATCCCAGGACCCTGGGATCATGACCCGAGCTGAAGGCAGACGCTTAACACGACTGAGCCATGCAGGTGCCCCTCTTTGAATTTTTTTATTGTGTAAAATACACTTCATTTAAAATTTACAATTTTAACCATTTTTAATTGTACAATTTAGTAGCATTAGTTACATTTACAATGTTGTACAATCATTCTATTCTGGGGAGCTTTTGATTCCTGTCATTAGACATGTAAAATATAAATAATGATACTATTATATGGGTCTGTATTTTCCAGCGAAAATCGAAAATTGGGAACATGGGGAAAGATAAAATTTAAATCTGGACTCATCATTAGTGACTACATGTGGCTAGAAACACCTTGCAGAGGCATATCCATAGAAAGAGAAAGAAGACACCAGTGCCAATAATAGGAAAGGTTGGAATAAGTATTGAGGAAAATCGTAAGTTTCTGAAAGACAATACAAGTTCAGAACAACTTTGGTTATAAAGAATAGGAATGATTTTGCCCAGCCTGGGAAGTGATGAGGGGCTCACAGAAAGAGAATTGTGCCCCTAAAGAGTAGTTAAGTAATAGAGTCTTGGAATACAATGGGGGAAGGGAGAAGGAACTGGGGAGTTTCTAAGAGTTTAGGACTGAGACTGGAGTGGGGAGTAGAGCTCGGTGGGATTTGAGAGCTAAGCACAAGGCACAGATTCAGAAAGGCTTGACAAGGCAAAAGTATTTGTGTAATTTGTAGGGCCCCAAAGAAAGAACAATCTGCTTTAGCAGTATTTCTTTGACAGAGGTGATGGGGTGGAGTGGAAGATTAATAGGTGGGTTAGGAAGGGCAGAAACTGAGGTTCACTGAGAAGCTCTGTGAAGGCAGAACTGATTTGGTGGGAGATGGTGCAATTTCCGAGGTTCCTGGAAAGAGCAGAGAGGAACCAAAGACTGGTTCTGGAAAGGATTCATCTGACGTAGTTCAGAAGACAGCCGGATGGGCAGTTAAAGTCAATGGACCGGGGCAAGCTCTCTGAGGTGGTGGGGTTTTGGGGGGACCTCCCTCGGGGCCACGCTTCTCTTCCGTTAGGACAGAAGAGGCCTGGAAAGCGAGGCCGGGAGTAGGGTAGTGGGGCGACGCTGGGTGGGGGAGGTGGCAAGCGCGGGTGACTCCCACTTGGGACCCGCGCCCAAGCCCCGCCCCCTGGCGTACGCCATCAGCCCGCGCCGCGCAGCCGAGTGTTATTCCGTCCCGCCCGCGCGGCGGTCGGTGCTCTGTCACCGCCCGCTGTGGCCATGGCCCCAGCCCGTGGCTTGTAAATTGGCGACCAGAGTTCCCGACGAGGCACTGGCCCTGATGGCGGCAGCGGCGGCCTTGGCAGCGGCCGACCCCCCTCCCGCGATGCCGCAGGCGGCAGGAGCCGGAGGGCCCACCGCCCGTCGGGACTTCTACTGGCTGCGCTCCTTTCTGGCTGGAGGTGGGTGTCAGCCGGGGGCGCCCGGCCGTGCTGTGGTGGCAGGGCGGGATCCGGGGCAGATACGGTGCTTGCGGCCGCAGTGACGTTCTTGGACTCTGGCTGCTTCAATGCTCGGCTATTTGCCCTGACCTGTTGTAAGTCTAATAATCACTTGACTGGTGACAGCAGGATCCTGGGGAGGAAGGGCCTCGAGCTGTCAGGGAGCCGCTGGGGAGGTGGACGGGCTAAACCAAGCACCATTCTTTGGGGTTGGATGGTAGGGAAAAGAGCTTAGTCCTTTGCAAAGACTCCAGGGTTTCCGTGAAACATGCTGGGTACCCCTTTCTTTTATAAAGACTATAAATGACCCAGTGTAGAACTGGATTTTGCCGTTTGCTTTAAAGAAAGCAAATATTGGAGGTCAGCTTTTTAAAGTTGACTGGGAAATTGTGCAAAACTGTCTACAACCAAAACTGGTTCCAGTGATTCTAGTAAAGTGTTCCATAGCTACATGACAGGTAGCTGGGGCAGCCCTTCTATCCGTGCCACTGTGAGGCCAGAAAGTTCATAATTGTCTCTCAGAAACTTCCTCTGCCTTCCTATAAAGAAGTGTTTTCAATCTCTACCCTCTCTTAATTGATTGGGTTGTCAACACTTAATGACTTGTTAAGGTGGGAATTTTTAAAATTCCACATTATAAGGGCTTTTAGAAAGAATATCTGTAGGGTGCAGTAGTATTAAGAATTTATTTTGTTCTGATAAAAACGGCATTCATTCATTTATACAAGGAATATGAGTGCCTGCTACATGCTCAGTGTGTATCAGGGAACAAAACAAAGATTCTGGAGTTTACATTGATTGAAGAGTTGAGGGGAGAAAGAGAATAAGTAAAATGAGAAAGTAAGTTATATAGTACGTTAGAAGGTGATGAATGCAATGGGAAGAAGTAAAAAGGAGAATGGGGCAAGGAAATGCAGAGGCTGAGTGGGTGCAATGTTAATTAGGACAGTCATGATAAATCTCTTGGAGAGAATGACACTTGAGCAGACTTGAAGTAGTGAGGGAGTTTGCAAGTTGATGTCTCAAGAGGAGCATTTCAGGCTTTAAGAAAAGCTATGTAGCTGGAGCCAAGTGTTGTTGGGGGAAGGAGGTTAGAGGTGATGGGAGGCTGAATGAAAGGTTTCCCAAACAATTGTAAAGATTCCAAGTTTTATTTGGAGTGAAGTAGGAATTGCCAAACTCTTTTCTTTTCTTGTTTTTTAAGATTTTATTTATTTACTTGAGAGAGAGAGAGCACGAGGGGGGAGGGTCAGAGGGAGAGGCAGGCTCCCCACTGAGCAGGGACCCTGATGGGGGCTTGATCCTGAGACCCCAGGATCATGACCTGAGCCAAAGGCAGTTGCGTAACCAACTGAGCCACCCGTGAGCCCACCAAACTCTTTTCTAAAGTGTCTGTTCCATTTTGTATCCCCACTATCTTGTCAATACTTGCTGTTATCAGAGTTTGTGTCCTCTGTGTTTGTGTAATTGTGTTTCTCTTTAAATAGGTGTTTAAAGGTATGTGATTGTGGTTTTAATTTGCATTTCCCTGATGACTAATGATGCTGAATATCTTTTCATATCCTTTTTGGCCATTTGTGTCTCTTGGTAAAGTGCTGCTTCAGATTTTTGGAAAGTGTGAATAATTTTGAACGAATTCCTTGTCCAAGTGATACAACAAAGTACCTTTGGGCAAGTTACTTTAGCCTCCCTGTGCCTCAGTTTTCACATCCATCCTTTCTTTCTTTTTCTTTCTTTCTTCTTTCTTTCTTTCTTTCTTTCTTTCTTTCTTTCTTTCTTTCTTTCTTTCTTTCTCTCTCTCTCTCTCTCTCTCTCTTTCTTTCTCTCTCTTTCTTTCTTGATTTATTTGACAGAGACTGCGAGAGCAGGAACACAAGCAGGGGGAGTGGGAGAGGGAGAAGCAGGCTTCCCGCGGAGCAGGGAGCCGGATGCGGGGCTGGATCCTAGGACCCTGGGATCATGACCGACGCTTAACAACTGAGCCACCCAGGCGTCCCTTCACATCCTTTAAATGGGAAAAGATATCCTTGTTTAGAAGGTTGTAGTGATTAAATGAGATAGTATCCATAAAAGCCTTGGCATAGTGTTCTGAGTTAAATCTCTTAGCCTAGGGATGCCTGGGTGGCTCAGTCAGTTGGGCGTCTGCCTTCAGCTCAGGTCACCCTGGGATCGAGCCCCACGTGGGGCTCCCTGCTCGGTGGGGAGCCTGCTTCTCCCTCTCCCTCTGCCTGCCACTCCCTCTGCTTGTGCTCTCTCTCTCTCTGTCAAATAAATAAATAAAATCTTAAAAAAAAAATCTCTTAGCCTAGTACCTGGTACAAGGTAAATACTCAAAACTTAACTATTGTTGATTAGCGGTGGCCTTGGCCACTATCTTAACCTCATTTGCTCAAAAGGAAGATAAAAGCTGCATGACTTAACTGAATGGATTGTTGTAATGATTAATTGAACTATAAAGTAATGTGATTAAGTGAGTTAAGATACTATCAAAGGAAACTACTTACTGAACATATTCTGAATAATTTCGTTATATGGTTAGTTCATAATGACTGAGAAGATAATACGTTCTGAAACCAAATATACCCAAATGCAAATTATTTTTAGTTTCTTCTCAATTTTGAATAGTCATGACTATGATTTTCATTAGTTCAGATAAAAGAAGCTTGATATAGAAACTTATATGTGGATTTAATATTTGAATACAAATAGGTATTTTATTTTTGGATATCTCAGAATATGAATTTTTAATTAATATTAGTTACATGGTAGGCTATTAAATAAATGTGTGTGGATTTTGAGTGATTTTGTCTCACTTTTTTTTTTTTTAAGATTTCATTTATTTATTAGAGAGAGGGAGACAGTGCACAAGCAGGGGGAGTGACAGAGGGAGAGGGAGAAGCAGGCTCTCCACTGAGCAGGGAGCCCGATGCGGGGCTCTATCCCAGGACCCTGGGATCATGACCTGAGCTGAAGGCAGATGCTTAACTGGCTGAGCCACCCAGGCGACCCTTGTCTCACATTTTAAAAAGTTTGTAGGGGTGTCTGGGTGGCTCAATCTGTTAAATGTCTGCCTTCTGCCTTTGTTTTTTTTTTATTTGACAGAGAGAGACGCAGCGAGAGAGGGAACACAAGCAAGGGGAGTGGGAGAGGGAGAAGCAGGCTTCCCACGGAGCAGGGAGCCCGATGCAGGCCTCGCTCCCAAGATCCTGGAATCATGACCCGAATCAAAGGCAGATGCTTAACAACTGAGCCACCCAGGCGCCCCTACTGGGATCATGAGATCCCAGCCAGGGTCCTGGGATTGAACCCCACATCAGGCTCCCTGCTCAGCAAGGGAGTCTGCTTCTCCCTCTCCCTCTGCCCCCTGCTCATGTGCTCTCTCTCTCTCTCTCCCAAATAACTAAATAAAATATTAAAAAAAAATAAAAAATTTGTGAACTAAAACTCTACATTCATTTTTTAAAAAAAATCTTACTTATTTTAGAACGAGAGAGAGAGAGAGCAGGAGCTGGGGGAGAGGGAGAGAGAGAAGCAAACTCCCTCCTGGGCAGGGAGCCCGATGTGGGGCTCAATCCCAGGACCCTGGGATCATGACCTGAGCTGCAGGCAGAAGCTTAGCTGATTGAGCCATCCAGGTGCCCCTACATTCATTCATTAAATAGACACTGAGTGCCTGTTATGTGCCAGGCCCTGTACTGGTCTCTGGCAGTATAGTAATAAAGGCGACCCACAAAATCCGTCCTCTTGTACCTTCTGGATCAAATATGCAATAGTGAAGAGCTTAATGTAATCATAGTAAGACACCAGAGACTTTTTATCCACCTTTTTATAATGTAACAGCCTATTTTATCAAGTGCTTATAACATGTAAGGTACTTTACAAAATTTTCTTCGTCTGTTTGGGCTACTAAACAAAAATATCAAAATCTGAGTGTTTTATTTTTTTATTTTTTTAAAGATTTTATTTATTTATTTGAGAGAGAGAGAATGAGAGAGAGAGCACACGAGAGGGGGGAGGGTCAGAGAGAGAAGCAGACTCCCTGCCGAGCAGGGAGCCCGATGCGGGACTCAATCCCGGGACTCCAGGATCATGACCTGAGCCGAAGGCAGTCGCTTAACCAACTGAGCCACCCAGGCGCCCAATCTGAGTGTTTTATAAACAACTTTTTCCTTCCTTCTTTCTTTTCTTTCTTACTTCCTTTTTATCAACCTGGAAGCTCCCAGACGCTTATTTGTTATAGTTCTGGAAGCTGGGAAAGCCAAATCATGGTGTCAGGAGATTTGGTGTTTGGTGAGGACCTGCTTTCTCATAGATGGCACCTTCTCTTTGTGTTTTCTTTCTTTTTTTTTTTTTCTTTTAAAGGATTTTATTTATTCATTTGGGACACAGAGATACAGAGAGAAAGAAGAGAAAGCATGAGCAGGGAGAGAGGGAGAGGGAGAAGCAGGCTCCCTGCTGAGCCAGGAGCCTGATGTGGGGCTCGATCCCAGGACCCCGGGATCATGACCCGAGCGGAAGGCAGACGCCCAACCATCTGAGCCACCCAGGCACCCCTCTTTGTGTTTTCACATGGTGATACCTTCTCAGTGTTTTCACATGGTGGAAGGGGCCAGGGATTTCTCTGGGCTTTTATAAAGGCATTAATCTTGTTCACGAGGGCTCCACCCTGCTGACCTCATCAGTTCCCAAAAGCCTCACCTCTAAATACCATCACACTGGGAATTAGTTTTCAACATATGAATTTGGGAGGACACAGTCTATAGCAGAGAGTCTTCATATATTATTGTCTTAGAAGAAGCAAGTCAAGCTAGTAGGGCTGCCCTGGATTCTGACCTACACTAAAGCCCGTGTGCACACATTACTGTCATCCGTATGTCTGCACAGTGGCACATGGTAGGGACCAAATACATAATTGCTGAATATATATGGGTATGCTGACTGTTATGGGTAAAAGTTGGTTGTTTCAATGAGAGTCATCCAGAAGAAGAGGTTACTTGAAACAGAGCCTCATAGCTGGGTAAAAACCTTCAAGTGTCTGTCTCCATAACTACATTTAGCAAGATTCCCAGTGTTCATCAGGTATTAGGGGGATTTACGCTCTTCAAATTTATTTTTATGTCTGACATACTCAGTTATTAAGTTACAGGGAATGGGGGCCAATCATCTGCATATCCCTGCAACTGGGCAGTTCTACCCATGGAGACCAAATTAGAAATCAGAAGGTGTGCTGGCTGAATAAATAACGGTTTCCATGTGGAAAGAAATGGTACGCAATTTCATCCTGACTGTTTAAAAATTTTTTAGGTATTGCCGGATGCTGTGCCAAAACAACAGTTGCTCCTTTGGATCGAGTAAAGGTTTTATTACAAGCTCACAATCACCATTACAAACATTTAGGTGAGTTAATGGATGCTAAAGGTAAAAGTGAATGAAAACATTATCCATCTGCTGGCTTTGTTTCCAGTTGTGAATTATAGTGGAAAGAGTATACAAAAGGGAGTTCAAGTTTGGGAACAAATTTTGCAAGAGATTTATCTCTTATCTACTTTAACCTTTTCATTTGCAATAGTGGTTAATTATCATTTCAGGATACTGATATTCTCTAAACCAAAATCTTGGAATCATTGAAATACATACTATTTGTTTATTGGGATTAAAGAGTCATGCCCTTTCCAGACACATAACAGCTCAGCCTGATTTGTTTTTGTTTAAGATTTTATTTATTTATTTATTTGTCAGAGAGAAAGAAAGAACACAAGCAGGGGGGAACGGCAGGCAGAGCAGGCAAAGCAGGCAGAGGGAGAAGCAGGCTCCCAGCTGAGCAGGGAGCCTGCTGTGGGACTTGAACCCAGGACCCTGGGATCATGACCTGAGCGGAACGTAGATGCTTAACTGACTGAGCCACCCAGGCGTCCCAGCTCAGCAGGATTTTTAAAAAATATTCAATTAGTGATGGAGATAAGGTTTATTCCTTTATTTAAGGATTTGTTTAGATTTGTATATTTATTTGAGAGAGAGAGAGAAAGCACACCCATGAGTTGGTGGGGAGAAGCAGAGGGAGAGAGAGAGAATCCTCTCCACTGAGCATGGAGCCTGACACAGAGCTGGATCCCAGGACCTGGGGATCATGACCTGAGCTGAAATCAAGAGTTGACCGCTTAACGGAGCCACCCAGGGGCCCCTATTTTTTATTTTTAAGGTAATCTTTACACCCCACGTGGGGCTCCAACTAACGACCCTGAGATCAAGAGTTGCATGCTGTACTGACTGAGCCAGCCAGGCACCCTATTCCTTTAAACACCTAGTTAAACAAGCCTTCTAGAAATCTTAGTGTAAGCAGAATTCAATGCAATTAGTATATAAGGATAAACTTAAATTGTTAAAGAATATCAAGCCCTTGTTTGTTCCTTGCAAACATAAAAATCAGCCACTTTAACATGGATACTCTAATAATATGTCATTGGTGGGAGTAAGAAATTTTTATAGCCTATTTGGAGGGGATTTTGGTAATATGCATCAAAACTCTTAAAAAGAGGGCACCTGGGTGGCTCAGTTGGTTAAGTGACTGCCTTCGGCTCAGGTCATGATTCCGGGGTCCCGGGATCGAGGCCCACATCGTGCTCCCCCTGCTCTGGGGGGAGCCTGCTTCTCCCTCTACCTCTGCCTGCCACTCCCCGTTTGTTCGTGCTCTCTCTCTCTCTGTCAAATAAATAAATAAAATCTTAAAAAAAAAAATTTTACTTATTTATTTTAGAGAGACACAGCATGAGCAGGGGGAGGGGCAGAGGGGGAGAATCCCAAGCTGACTCTGTGATGAGCGCAGAGCCCGACGTGGGGCTCAGTCTCACATCATGACCTGAGCTGAAATCAAGAGTCGGATACTTAACCGACTAAGCCACCCAGGTGCCCCAAATTTTGCTTTTTTAAACATGAATTTTCACAAAGATGATGAAAATGTGCTATTGAGTAAAACTTCTACTTTAGCTTTTTTTAAAAAATGTGTAACTTTACTTCCAAGGCATCAGAAAGTATTTTTTTATATTGAAGCAAAACTATTCTGGCCAAATGAAAAGCAAGGAGTACAATTAGAATTTTTCTTTCTCCACTTTGCATAAATAATTTTTTTCTGTAATATATTGAAAATCTTTGATCTCATTTAGCTTTTTACAGTCAAATGTGATGTAAAAATAGGTAGGTGAATCATAATGGGATTCTTTAAAAATCTTTACTTTTATTTTATTTTTTTAAAGATTTTTTATTTATTTTACTTGAGAGAGATGGGGAGAGAGCACTAGCTGGGGGAGCAGCAGAGGGAGAGGGTGAGCAGACTCCCCACTGAGCAGGGAGCTGACGTGGGGCTCAATCCCAGGACCCTGGGATTATGACCTGAGTCGAAGGCAGACACTTAACCAACCGAGCCACCCAGGCGCCCCTACTTTTAATTTTATTGCTTTTATTTTTTTATTTATTTTTAGTTTTTTTGAATGTGTGATGTCACAAGTTCATAATTCAAAAAGTATAAAAACAAACATCTTGTTCCCTCCCTTATTTCCTCCTTGGAATTAAGCATTTTTCGAGTTACTTCCATTTCCTTTCAGAGTTGATGTATACATAGACAAACATGCTTATATTTTACCAAATGTTATTCCTTCGAATCCTATCTTGATAGAATAGGTAAAGATACAGAGAAGGATTTAAATAACACACAAGCTTGATATAACAGATGCACAGGGAACTTTGCACCCTACAGAGAATACATATTCTTTCCAAACATGCTTGTAACATTTGTAAGAATTGGTCCAGTGTTGGGGCACCTGGCTGGCTTGGTAGAGCATAGGGCTCTTGATCTCAAGGTTGTGAGTTTCACATTGGGTGTGGAAACTACTTAAAAAAAAAAAAAAAAAAAGAATTGGTCCAATGTTACGCCATAAAGAAAGCCTTAATTCATTAATTTCCCAAAGTAAAAATAGACTGTAGGTTGAAGGAGAAAAACAATCATCTATAATCATCTCAGTGGATATTTAAAAGCCATTTGAAAACATTCAACATCCACTCTTGCTCTTTCTTTCTGTTATTTTGCTTTGGGTAAGAATTTTGTAAAAAGTATATAGTTAGATATAGACTTTTAACAGAATTTGAGAATCTTTGGCGTTTAATAGAGGAATTTTTGTCATTGTGGTTTTTTGTGTGTGTGTGTGTGATCATTGATTTTTTTTCACTCACCATCATAATGTTTTTTGTTTATTGTGCTTTCTTGTATTCTGTCCTCTCCAGCAACCTCTCCCACTTTGTTTTCTGGATTTCCTTTTTTGAAAATACTATACCTATTTCCCTTCTACTAGTGGTTTCTGTTAAAATCCTTTTTAACAAAATATTTGTGATAATTAAAGAGTTTTAAAGACTAATGTAGTAAACATATGTGGATCCACGCAGAGATTCAGAAATAAACATTACCGGTACAGTTGAAACCTCTACTTCTCTCTCATCATCAGCCTTCCTGTCCCTACTAGGTAGCCATTGTTCTAAATTCAATTATTCTTAAATTGTTATAAGTAAGAGAATTTTTTTGGTGTGTGGGGGAGTATATTCAGTTTCATTACTCATGTGTTTTAGGAAATTTTTACATATTATACACATAGCTGTATATAGATATATGTATATATTTATATAAAGAATATAAAATTCTTTTTTTTAAGATTTTATTTATTTATTTGAGAAAGAGAGAGAGTAGGAGCAGAGGGGAGAGGCAGAGGGAGAGAGAGAAGCAGATTCCCCACTGAGCCTGGAGCCCGTGTGGGGCTCAATTCCAGGACCCTGGGATCATAACCTGAGCTGAAGGCGGACACTTAACTGACTGAGCCCCCCGGGTGCCCCTCTTTTTTTTTTTTTTTAAAGATTTATTTATTTATTTGCCAAAGAGAGAGCAAGAGCGAAAGAGAGCACAAGCAGGGGGAGCAGCCTGCAGAGGGAGAGGGAGAAGCAGGCTCCCCACTGAGCAAGGAGCTCGATATGGGACTCGATCCCAGGACCCTGGGATCATGACCTGAGCCGAAGGTAGACGCGTAAACGACTGAACCATGCAGGTGTCCCCCTTTTTTTTTTTTTAAGAAGATTGAGGGTGACTTTTTTCTTTAAAGAGTGGGAGTTATACAGGTGCTTGCTTTATTGTTTGTTTGTTTAAGCCATTTTTAAAGTAATCACTACCCACAACATGGGGCTCAAACTCAAGACTCCGAGATCAAGAGTTGAATGCTCCACTGACTGAGCCAGCCAGGTGCCCCAATAGAATTCTTTTTAATAGACTACTAGTCCATTTAGATATCTACTTATTAAAAAATACTTCTGGATATCTTTTTTTGAATGTTAACAAGTACCTACAATTTTAATTTCTGGGAAGAGATCAAAAGATTACTTGCATTCTAAAATTGTAAGTGAGGCTAGTGATTTACTTTTTTTTTTTTTAAAGATTTTATTTATTCATGAGAGAGAGAGCGACAGCGAGAGGCAGAGGGAGAAGCAGGCTCCCAAGGAGCAGGGAGCCCGATGTGGGACCCGATCCCAGGACTCTGGGATCGTGACCTGACCAGATGCTTAACCATCTGAGCCACCCAGGCGCGCCTAGTGATTTACTTTTATATTTGATCAAATTTCTGTTTGAAAAATTTGGAAATGAACTTGAATTTGAATAATTTAATAATGGAAGTAGTGATTTGTTTATGAGAAGGCTGTACTTCAGACTTCAGAGTAGTGATTGACATTAATAGAATAAATAACACGTTAATATATAGGATTAGAACTCAGGCCTTTGTCAGTCTTCCTCATTAAAGTGTCCTAATGGAAATTTCCCCCCAAATTTAGTTTTAATAGTTTTTTAAATTTCTTTGGGGCACCTGGGTGGCTCAGTTGGTTGCGCGTCTGCCTTCAGCTCAGGTCATGATCTAGGGTCCTGGGATTGAGCTCCATGTCGGGCACCCTGCTCAGTGGGGAGCCTGCTTCTCCCTCTCCCGCTCTTTCTCTCTCAAATAAATAAATACAATCTTTTTAAAAAAATAAAATTTGTTTCTTTTATTTAGCAATTTCCTTATGTAAACAAACCACACATGTATCTAGGTCAGTCTGGGAAAACTTCCTTTATCCTTTCAGAGTCCCTCATTTGCAGTGCAGTATCTGGTCCTTGAATATATTTCTTTTAATATTTTTTAGATTGCTGTAAGTCAATATAATTTGTGATAATTTAAAATATAATTTACTATAATGTATAGCTGGGGTTTTTTATGTTTTTGCTAAAATATGTTTTATATTTTTACGTGAGATGTGTTTGTATAATTTGGACTTATGTATTTTAGGTAGGGTTAACTGCTAAACATAAATTATTATTTATGTAATTCCTCAGGCAAAATTATATCATGAGTGATGGCATAGTAATCTTTTCTGTGATTGTCATGAAAATTTGAATTTAGATAGTTTTCTCTGTTTTAATAGTATTTTTCTTCTAAACATTTTCCTAAAAACAGGAGTATTTTCGGCATTGCGTGCTGTTCCCCAAAAGGAGGGATACCTTGGATTATATAAAGGGAATGGTGCAATGATGATTCGAATCTTTCCCTATGGTGCAATCCAGTTTATGGCATTTGAGCATTATAAAACGGTACTTGAACTTTTATATTGTTTTCTTTTTTGTGTCCTTGAATATCATACTTAGTTGAAAGGCATTTGTTTTGGCCTTTAAAGTTACTTTGGATGAATGGGTAAAGTAATGCCTTTTTGAAGGAGAAAGACTTGTGATAGCTTAAATTTTTAAATGTAACTTGGTTTTGGAGTTATCTATTCTAGAATTGTTAGTCAATTTTGAGCAAATTGTTTATGTACACACTTATGAAGAAGAGCCAAAATATACTTCAAGTAGATAATAATCCGTAAAATTTTAATAGCTTTTTTTTTTTTTTTTAAGATTTTATTTATTTTTCAACAGAGAGAGAGAGAGACAGCGAGAGAGGGAACACAAGCAGGGGGAGTGGGAGAGGGAGAAGCAGGCTTCCCGCTGAGCGGGGAGCCCGATGCGGGACTCGATCCCAGGATCTTGGGATCATGACCTGAGCCGAAGGCAGACGCCCAACGACTGAGCCACCCAGGCGCCCTTAATAGCTTTTTAATGTGCTTTTTGTTTCTCAGTTGTAGGAAAGGAACGTTGTGGTTTTGGATTTTCTTACTAAATAAAATAGTGAAATCATATGGTGAAAGTCTGTTTTTGAGTAATGCTATCAGTTAACAACTTCTCTCATCCTACTTATTGACTTTCTCTTCTCTGTTGGATTGAAAGTTTATCCTCTCAAACATCTTAATATAGAAAATGGTTAAGTACTTTAAATTTCATAGGATATCTTAAAAAGAAATGTAAGCAATGGAATGGGAACAACATTCTAAGCTCATCAGTCAGAATTGATGCCATCAGTATATCAAGACTTCATTGTCTGTAGTAGCATTTTATTTGTACTACTGCCACTCACTCTTTAAGTATATGTGGTCGTCAATGTGCAACATAGTATATTTGGCAATTCTAAGTTAAGATTGTAAAAGTGCAGAACTAGAACAGAAGGCTACAGAGGAAATACCTTACCTACTCACCATGTGCTATAACTGTTCACCTTTATACAGTTGCACTTGTTTCACTTATGTTTAACACTAATTTTCTTCTTACTAGTCCTGTAACTCTTTTTTGAAATTTCTTCATTATGAAACAGTGAAATGAGAAGTACTTAAAAATATTCCATTTAATTTGATGTTTTTGATTTCTAGTTAATTACTACAAAGCTGGGAGTTTCCGGTCATGTGCACAGATTAATGGCTGGATCCATGGCAGGTAAGAGGAGTGGATGGATGTATTTTGTTTATTTTTTAAAATATTTTATTTATTTATTTGAGAGAGAGAGCACAAGCAGAGGGGAGGGGCAGAATCAGAGGGAGAAGCAGACTCCCTGCTGAGCAGGGAGCCTGATGCCAGGCTCCATCCCAAGACTCTGGGATTGTGACCTAGGCCAAAGGCAGATGCTTAACCAACAGCCACCCAGACACCCAGAACCTTTGTTTTACAGTGATCTCAAGACTGTTTTCTACATCAATACATAGCTCTTTCTTATTTTTTCTAAAGACCTGATGTTATATTCTAATTTATGAATGTATTGTGATTTATTTAATCCAGTCTCCTATTGACTGGCATTTGGAATGTTTTCAATTTTTGTTTCACAAGTAACACATTGTACTTGTGTTATTTTATCGTAGAATAAATTTTGAGAAGGGAAATTACTTTATAAAGGGATATGTGCATTTAAATTTTGATAGGCATTGTTAAGTTGATCTTCATAATGCTTTTAATGACTTTTTCCCTTACATACCATACCAATACTGGGTCTTACCAAATTTTTAATATTTAGCAATTAATTATGAGTAAGGTTGATCAGCTTTCCAATGTTTGTGTGAGGTGAACGTGATAACCACTACACTACGGAAACGGGACTGCTTTCCAATGTTTATTGACCATTTGTGTTTCTTTCATTTTCAGTCTGAGTTGCTTTTTTTTTTAAATACTCATTTTTGCTTAAAAAAATCTATAAAAAATTATTTTTATGAATTTGGGAATTAGGACATTGCTTTTTTTCTGTCAGATATTGCTAATAGTTTATCAGTTTTAGATTTGTCTTTTAACCTTGTAATTTTTTTTTTTT